CTTGGGAAAGGAGGACAGTCGCTGCCTCCCTGCCCCGTGAAGCCATCCCCGCACGGAAAGCAAAGACAAAGTGTCCCAGGTCCCCAAGCTGGCTTTGTCACAGCAGCCCCCTTCCTCACCACCACCCTCTGTCAGGTTTAACTTTGAAAGCCAAATCTCCCTCCCCGGCTCCTCAAGATTTACATGAAAGCAGTCAGTGGGGAGTTCTCTTCATTCATGCTGGGCTTATACTCCTAAATTATAAAGTGTGTCAAATGAGGATTTAATTTATATTTAACAAGACAACGTTTGTAAATTAATTATTCATCAGCTGATAATGAATAAACATTCCCCTTTCCCTCCTTTCCCCTTTTTCACAGGGTTTTCACAAATGCACCATACATGCAAATCTATTAAATCTATTCTGCAGTACTCCAGACGTGGGAAAATACATTCTTCATGTTCAATTTCGTTAGTGTGTTGCATGGTAACTAATGCAGCCAAGCATAGCCTTATAAATTTAATAGTGTGAGCATCTTTTTCCTAAAGAGGGAGAGGGAGAATATTCAACATGTGTATTTGGATGTATCGCCTTCTTTGGGTTCCAGTCCCCAGCTCCCAGGAAGAGATAAGAAAATAATTTGCTGTAATAACAGAGGCATGAGCTTAGTCCCACCACTTGGAAATTACAGGCACCTCAGAGGCAGCAGGATCTGGCCCTTGGTGAATGACAGAGGCCAATTTTTTTCTTTCCACCTTTATTAAGTAATGAAATTGAGGTGGTGCACAATCCCAGCAGAACAGCTGTCATCAAACCTTGCTACAGAGTTTGGCACATGAGGGCATCTCCTTGCACGTACCGAAGCGAGGATTCTCCAGCATCTAAACAAGACCTGAGCCCAGACACCTGGAGCAGGTAACCAAGGTATGCCTCTGCATATTTCCATTCACTCGAGGCTACCATAGTGTTTGCACTATGTCCTCAACGTTCAGCTCCCTGAGCATCACGTTTGGGTTTGCACAAGAAAGGAAGAAAAGGACGTTCAGCTCTGACCTCTGGGTGGAATCTGAGAAGCTCTGGGCAAGGTTTGCTCCATCCCCAAGCTCAGAACAGAAGCACTTTTTCCCCTTCCACGCACGTTGGCTCTCATGGACACTTCACGGACATTCTCAGGGCTGAAAGACACTCAGCCCCAATAGTTGGCAACTGCTTTACTTCTACAGCATCATTTCCTGAGAGTTAAACATCCCTAAAGGAAGGTGATCCAGAACTCTAGGTGCCCTTGACACCAGTTAAAGCTATAATCTATAGCAATAAAGACATTACAAAACAAAACCAGGAGCAAATCCCTCCAGCAAACAACCAGTCAGCGAAAAATTTGAACCAAAAGTCTCCTCCACCGGTGCCCGCTGCCGCAGCCCTCCCTGGCCCCTCTTTTCACAAACACGCTCGGAGAATCAACACGGGTCTTTGCACCAGGCTCAGCTTAGTGATAAGCCAAGGACACCTAAACACCGCCTGTGTTAATGGGAATCTAATTGGGCATCCAGATCCATGACACAGCTTGGAAAGCTGTGTCGCTGTGGGTGATAACTCATTTGGCTGGAGGTGCTGCTGGCCGGCACCCAGCGGCAGCAGGTGGCTCTGGAAGGGACCGTGGCTGAACGCACCCTTTCCCCGATGGTGTGAACGCAGCTTCCCAGCATCCTGAGAAGTGCTGAGTGTCCCAGTGCCCCCCAAAGACAACAGGCTCTTGGGGATGGGGAGGAAATCTCAGTCCCTGCAGTGACTGGAGCAAAGAGCTGTGGGACCTGATGGTCCCACTTTTCTGCACCCTTTTCCCTCTAAGATCATCCTCTTTCCACTAAACCCTGTCCCACTTCCTATCACTTAACCATCTCCTAGCTTTACGTCAGGTTACTGCCACATTTTGGCTGGCAGAGCACAGAGGACGCTTTCCCCAGGAAGAAGAGAAATGTAAAATTTGTTCAACTACCTACATAGGAAACAAAAGTGCCATTCTGGTCTACAAAAGATACCAGGAAATCACTTTACATTTCTTCCCCCTCCAAACCTGCCTGCCTTCTGCTGACTCCTGAATGTTAATGTTATTTATGACAAATGATTGATGAGGGGGATGCAGAATTCACACCCAGCACAGGGCATTTTCAAATCACCTATTCATTTTTAAGGACCGGAATCAGTTTTGTATCCTTACATGATTTATCATTTGGAGGTTGAGCCGTGGCCATGCAGGGCCAGCTTCCAAGCCCTGTCAGAAAATCACCAGGCTGAAGGCAGCAAGGAGAAATTAACCCTTTGAGGAGTGAGAAGAAGATCATGGGGTACTGTTATTCAAAAAACATTGCTTAAGTTGGAGCCTTCTATTCCACCAGCACACGAGGCCACCCGGCAGCCTTCAGCTTCAGATGCACAGACCACAGGTTCAAGCTAATAGCCACAGTAATGCTGCTGTATTTCTTAAAAGCAAAACTAGGTTTTTATCTTCTACATAGCCTGGCTAAGTGAAATAGAAATATTTATGTAAGGCTCTGTCATCGCAATGCACCTAAAAGATATCAATGGGACATTTCCCCTCCAGTGGACCTTCCAGCCTGTGTGAGCCTCTGCATGAGTATCTGCAGCAGAGAGAAATCTCACCCGTGGGCTCAGGAGAGATCTATCTCCGAGTCAAATTCTGGTTCCCTCCCCTTGGAAATGTGCTTTTCCTCAGGTTGCGTATGGGAAAAGGCAAAGATCAGGCACGTGGGACAGGCTGACAGCTGGGAGAAGGCAGAGCTGCTCAGGTTGGGAGAAGCTATATAAAAAGGGACAAAGCAGAAACGACACTCCCCCAACAAAGACAACCTGTATCATGCGTTTGATGTCAGCCTGTCGGTGGCTGGCACGACCCACAGAATGACTTAATTCATTGCATCAGCGTGGAAAAGCAAACAAGCACAAAACAAGCGAAGCAGCCAAGGCTAGAGGTGACACGGCAGCACCCTCACCACAGCCCTTTTCTCTTGTTTTGGGAGACTCTACAGCAGGGTACAGCCTCTCTCACGAGCTATATTCAGAGTAGGGATGGCAGAAAGCTGCTATCCAAGGCTACAAGACCTGGGTCTAGCTGTCCTCAGTATCTTTAGTATCAGCCCCATGGCAGCAGCTTCCCCAGCAGATCCCTGCAGATGTGGGCAATTCCAGGTGCTAGCCTTGGCCTCCGTGCTTCTGGCTCACACTACGTGTGCTGAGACTCCCCTGTGCAGTCATGGACCCTCACTTCAAGGAGCATAAAAGCTTCTGCTGACTCTCAGAAAGGGCTGAATGCATGGACTGAGCAGCTCTAGGAACAGTCAGGGGTCCCTCATATGATTCTTCGGTATCTAGTTAGGGTTGAGTTCAGACAACAGTTTTTCCCCTCGGTGGAGATGGCTGTTGTCACTGCCTTGCATTCTGTTTTCACAGAAATACTGGAGATGCTGAATAAGCCTGAAGCTCCTATAGCTGCAGCCATATATGGCTGGTATTAGCCCCGTGAATCTAAAATACTGGGATGGACATACATATGTTCTCACACACCCATCACCATGGCATAAGTTATGTTTCTTAGGAAACCAGACTAGCAGCCGTGCCTGGAATCTCCGTTTAGGAGAAGAACTCTGGATCCAAGACTGGATTTTGTAAGCCACTCTCTACTACTACGACCCGCATGGCTACGCAGTGCTCCTGCAACAGGGAGTAGGGCAGAGGGTGGAAAGGGGTAAAGATAAGGGGGAAAGAGAAGAAATGATGTTTTTTCTTGGCATATCCTTGGGCAGTGTAAGGCAAGTGGGACAGCGACCTATAACATGACTCTTATGCTCTATCTCCAGACACATCAGTGGCTGGGGAGTTGAGTGCAAACCATCCCTGCACCCTTCCCCCTGCACTGCTGCTCTTATGGGACTGTGGCTTCATGTCCACACACCCACAGGGGATGGAGGAGCTTGTGGCATCTGCTGGCAGCCAGCGATGACATCCACGTGGCTTGGGCTGTGGTTCTCCTCGTGGAGTCCGGGCCCACAGAAACAATGAAAGGAAATTTTTTTTTGCCTTGAGGCCGTCCCTGCTCAACCTCCTGATGGTGCCCTCATCACGCAAGCGAGAGCCCAGCCAGGCGTCCATCTGGTGGCTCAGGAGCAGGTGCTGCTTGGAGGCACACGCTTGGTGGTGGCCAGTCGGAAGGGCTGCTTCAAAATGCTTTTTGTTGTAGAAGTGGTACTACGACAACAATGCCATTCCTCCATCCCCAGAGGGGTTTGTTCAGTGGAAATTTTCTGCTCAGGAAACTAAAAATAACATACCCATCCTGAGGACTTTTTGTTTAAAGGGGGCTAGTTTTGTTTCTGCTCTGTTTTACATCGAGATAGACAAGAAAAGCCAAATTGTCCTGGCTCTACCTCCCTTTTGTCCTTGCCGCCCCACTGCCCATTGGGCCAAAAAGTCTTTCAAAACCTGACAGCAGTCAGGTTGGGTTCTTGCTAGAAAAGAGGGAAAGACAACTCCACAGGGAAATAATGGAAGTTTGCTGTGAAAGAAATGAACAGTTGTTCTCCAGTGCGTGGCCTGGAGGCTCTTCAGACCAACGAGCATCTCCGGGGCGTGTTTCCACAGCTCCCAGTACAACAGGATCCAAGAAGGCAAAGCCACCAGGCAGAGGGGTCTGTCCACACGTTGCCAGTGGGGACCAAAGAGTATCATCATCATTCTCCCTGAGCTCATGAGCATGTTAGGGTTGCTGAGCTCCCCAAAAAGACCTTGCTCCAAACCAGGGATGGTTGTCAAGCCCTTCTAGCTCCAGCAGGTCAGAGCACCTCTTCCCAAGGGATGAGAAACAAATCCACCTCTTCTAATGACAACTCCACCTTCACACCACGTCTAGACAGCATGACACAGCCTGCCAGCCGCGCGGGGCCAGCTACCTCCCACGCTCCCGGCTGCAGCGATACCTCGACCCTGCAGCAATGACACCACTCACCATCTGGATGACAGACACCGGCCCGATGCTGTTCACGTAGATATCCACATCGATAAACGTGGGCTTAACTGTAAAGAAAATAAAATAAGTACAGATGAGCTGGGGCTAGCCCCTCACAAATGTTCCCGAGGACCAGGGGAGCATCTGGGATCAGCCTGGCTCCATCTCACCAAAAATCCCAACTACAGCAGCCACAAAAGCACAGAAAACACAAGGCACAGGTCACTACCTATGGGCACAGGGGACTTCAGGGGACACTTACTGCCGATGTCAGGTCTCAGCTTGTTATCGTAGTTCTTCAGCAGCGAGTTGAGGATCTGCGTGGCATCAGTCTCGTGTGCTTTGGGGGTGAGGACCCAGGTTTTATTGATGCTGAGGTAATCGTAATCGTATTCCTCTGTGCTCTCGCACCTGGACCGGAGAGACAAAGGGAGAGAGACATTGCTGTGGCAGCTTTTTGGTGCTCTGCGGGAGTAGGAGCACAGCTGGGTTTCAGAGATACTGAAGGGGGAGGATGCAGTGCTCCTACGAGGCAGAACATAAGGAGCTCGGGGATCTCTCAGACACAGTGCCAAGAAGACACAACTCATCTGGCCCCTTTGCTCACTCCAGGGTCTCCAGACATGCAGGGGCCTTGCCACCAGCAGTCAGGACTAGCAGGCATGGGGTGTTCCACATGCTCCTCAGCATCCTTTGGAGACACACAGCTCATCCCCAGACTGTGAGAGCCAGTCCCTGCCCTCCCACGCCACGTTCCTGCCCATCCCTCTCCTGTCCCTCCTCTGCCTCTGCAGCTCCTGCTCCTGGAGCTGCCTCTTAAGCCCAAATAGCTCAGCTGCTCTGCCTGCCACTTGCACCCGAAGCAAGCTTCCCCTGAGCAAGAAGATAGTGAGGAAACAGCATTTTTGAGGAGTAAGGCATTTGCAGTAAAAGCATTTCAGAGGAAAGTGGTCCTAAAACTACCAAGCAGGCAGCATGCAAGTCCGGCTTGCAAGGAACTCAGCCATCTGCCCTGTAGATCCTCAGAAATTAAAGCCTTATGCAAACTCCTCTGCCCTGAGGCCAAGATCTGCCACAACCCATTCCCTGTACTCACCAACCCTTCCTCCTCAGACTTTGGCGGGAGCTCCCGTTTAAAGATGTTCCATTTTCCTGCACTTCCAGTTCCAAGCCAGACAAGGAAAGCTTACACCCTCCTTTGGACATGATCCACTTAGCAACAGCTTCTCCCATTGCCTTTCGAATCTGCCCTCTCTAAACCTTTCACAGCCTTCCCTTTTCCTAAAGGGTTTTTTGTGTTGTTTTTTTTTTTTTTTCCTCTAAACCGTTTAATTAAATTAGGTCCACGTGGTCACCCAGGAAATTCTAACCACCTGCTGCTGCTCTGGGCAGCTCCTGCACAAGGTTGTCCCCAGAATGACACAGGAGAGGATGCCGAGCAATCCCACAGCCAGCACACCCCCTCCTCGATGTCTGTCATGTCACCATGTCACCTGCTCTAGGGCCAGAAAAGGTCTCACAGCGGGAGCTGCCATTGTGTTGACACTTCCCAGCTGGAACCTTGCAGCTCCGAGGTGCAATCAGGCACCACTGACACACATCTCCCTTCAGCGCCTGCGGAGGGACAGCCTGGCAAAGGTACTTGAGGCAGGGGGAAAAAAAAAGCATTAAATTGACACGCTGCAGTCAACTGATCAGATGCTCCTCTCTTAAAACCCCAGACACCACTGGCTTTCGGGATCGCTTCAGAACTCTTTGGGTCTCCCCAGCTTTCAGGCACCGGGATGTGTTCCCCTGACAAGGGCTGGGCTGCTTGCCTGCCTGCCTGCCGCCGCGCATTAGGGATCGGTACATCGCCTCCTCGTTGCCCGTCTGATCGCGCTGCGCTTTCTAATGATGCTTAAGGAGTCTTTAAAGCAGCGCTGTTGGGATGCGCTTCGCCATCCGAGCGGCGGCAGCGAGGGGTCACCTGCCTGTTGTGGAATGAGAGAGAGCTCCACCGCCGCCAGCACTCCACGGCCGCCAGCAGCTGCGGGAGGCGCAGGGGACCACCGCTGTGCCCACCCAAAAACTGGCCAGAGCCGAAGCCTGAGGCCAGCCCTGCTCCTGTGAGCTGCAGAGGGACACGTGTCTCTGCCCACAGCCCAGCTCAGGGCAGGGGAAAACAATCCCGACTGTTTTCTCTTGCTGCCAGTGTTTTGGGTGATGCAGGCTGCCTCTAGCAGAGTGGGAATGGCTACGGCAAACCCTTCTCTCGGTGTTCCCTTGACCTGACTTGAAGTCAGCCCAAGACAGGTCACCTGCCAGCACTGAACTCTGCGTGTCCCACTGCCCTACCGCGATCCAGTTCCTGCGAGCTGTAAGGTCACTGCAGAGTCTGAAACATCCCACTGGGGCAAAAAAAACCCCAACAGGCTGGTTACTCTGACCTCAGCCTTCTGGCTTCCCTGTGTTCAGTGTCACTGATTAAAGCCCTAAAGCTTGGGGTAGCATTTGCAGAGAGTCACATCCCTATTACAGATGCAGCAACACAATCAGAAATATGCTTTTTGCTAATGCAGCTAATCCCGGGCTACTAAACCATACTAAGCCATTTTAGCATAAGGAAACCAGCTTTTGCTGGAGAAAATACGCTTTTGCTGGGTGTCTGTGCACACACAAACATATACAGCTCTCACAGGTCAGGTGTGTGACTCTCATGTCATCCTATGCAAGCGTCCTCCCTGGTGTCTTTTCCCAGTGGCCCCACTCAGATCAACAAAGAAAGAGTCCAAGAGCTGCTGCAGAGAAGAGGAATTAAGGTGACATGTACATGTCCCCCCACAGCTACTAGCAGAAATGTCACACTGTAAACCTGCAGCAATTCCCAGCTTGCTGTGAACACTTGCCGGCCCAGCAGCTCCGTCTCCTCACGCGAAGTGACTGGCTTGGTGACAGGGGACAGCCAGTTCCCATATGTCTCCGTGCAGCCGGGAGCAAAGGCAGGGCCACACTTCCTCACCTCTGTTTGTTCAAATGTTAAAACATCTGCCTCA